AGGGCGGCAGCTCCCATTCTTCTGTGTGAAGCCCTGGGTCTCAGGACCAGCTCCTGTGGGCACCAAAATGGCCTTCCTCTCCCAGCCTGTCACGCCCGCCCAGAGAGTGACACGGAACCACAGAAGGCCATCATTTCCCAGTCCAGCGACGGTCTTCAGACCCCTCGTCCCACCCACTTGTACAGAGAGGCCCCCCGCCCCGAGCCCCGCTCGCCTCTCCTCTCTCCGTGGACAGTCCAGCCTCACCCCTCCCTCGAGACCCAGGGGTCTCCCACAACACAGAACTCCGTGGGGACCGCCTCGGGCGCCTGGACACTGCTGTCGTGCCCCTGGCGCCAGAGGAGGCCTTGAGCCTGGGGCTGGTGACCCGGCACCACTCCTGGAGTGGGCGGTCGGCTGTCCGGGGAGGGACAATAACAGAAGTTAACCGCTCAGTAAAGTACACTGTCCCCGCCCTAAGCCCAGCCCCCTACCGCCCGCCTCTCTTCCTGCCACAGGGAAGAATGCCATCTTCAAGGCTGTGGTCTGTGGGGACCCCAGGCCCGAGGTGCGCTGGCAGTGCAGTAAAGGGGACCTCAGTGACTCCAGCAAGTACCGGATCTCGTCAGCCCCTGACAGCAAGGAGCATGTGCTGCAGGTGAGGCCTCCCGCGCTTCCCACCCGGGGAGTCCGCCTCTGCCCGTCCATCCCCGCGAAGGCTCCTCGGGGGGCTCCAATCACGGAGGGGTGAGAGATATTGCTAGCTGGGGATGAGGGCTCAGCTCCGTCCCATGGCTCCAGGTGGCCTGAGCCAGGCGTGCACCTGGCAGGCTCGCAGGTGCCACCGCTGACTCTGGTCAGTGTGAGTGGCGTTTGTAGCTCCGTCGTGGGCCCGGCTGCAGGCCCTGTGCCAACCATGTGGCAGAGATGATACCATTTCAGCCTGGCCATTCACTATGTTTGGAGTGGGTCACCTTCGCCGTACGAGTGAAGAAACGGAGATTCAGGCGGGTTAGGCAGACGGCCCAAGGTGCCACAGCCCGGAACACATGGCGGAGACGGGATTCGGGCCCGGGCAGCCCAGGCATCCTGACCCGGAAAAGCCAGCTCTTTCGGCCTCCACTGGCAGAGCTGGTTCTCCGCCCCCGTGGTGGTTCAGCTGTCGTCGGGGGATCTGTGCCCCTCGCACAGAGCCACGTCCAGTGACACAGCACGGGGAAGCGCTGACTGTCCCCTGCCCTGGGCCTCTCTGCAGATCAACAAGCTGACGGGTGAGGACACGGACGTGTACCGCTGCACAGCCGTGAACGCGTACGGAGAAGCCGTGTGCTCGGCGAGGCTCACCGTCATTGAAGGTGGGCTTGTCCCCGCCTGGCACATGGCTCGGGCACTGGGGCGCCTGAGAGGTGTCCGAGGCCTGGCGTGGTGCGGGGAGCGGAGGGAGGACTTTGCAGGACGGGGGATGGGGGAGCACTGAGGGCCGTTAGGAATACGGGCGCTCCACGCACGGCCGCCCCGTGGCCAGCCTGTCCACGCGCTCGCCCGCGCTGCTGGGCCCCACGCCCAGAGGAGCCGGGAGGCCGGGCCACTGCTCCGTCCTCCTTGGTGTGTCCAGCTTCCCTCCCGCCTGTCCCCCTCACTCCCTTCCCTTCTCCTGACCACAGTGGGCTTTCGGAAGAAGCGGAAGAGGCACCAGGAGCCCCAGGAGGGTAGGTGGCAGGGTCGTCAGGACCTACTGGGGCTTTTGGGAGGTGGGCTACTCTCCCTGGTGTTCCGCACTTGGCTGGGACACCCCACAGGTCCTCACCAGTCCACAGAGGGCACCCTGCCCTCCTCCGGTCCCCTCCGCACTGCGCCCGCCCCCTGCAGGAAGGCCCTGGCCCCTCGGACGCCCGGCTGGGCTGGGCCTCACTCGCACCCCTTTTCCAGACCTCAAGCAGGAGCTGATGGATCTGAGGATGATGCTGAAGAAGAGGTGCGTCCGGGGCTGTCCGTGGGGTGGGGGCTCCGCGGCACTGTCCCCTGTCGCTCTGAGCCCACCGGGCTCTGCCCGGCCTGGGTCGGGCACGGGCGGGGAAGGCAGAGCCCAGGCGGCCGGCGGGAAGAGAGAAGCACGTGGACGCAGCCCGGCCGCTTTGGCGCCCGTGCCCCCGCCTCAGCCATGTCTCCTCTGTGGGGCCCGACTCGCTCCTTGGCGAAAACAGGGTGCTCCGTTAGAACAGTGACTTGAAACTTTTTCAAAGCCACAGAACAATTCTCCCCCCAAAACACCTAGCCCGGAGTCCGCAGCACGAGCTGTCAGGAGCAGGGGCCCCCCGGGGGCCTGAGCCGGGCCGAGGGCCGCTGCGGCCCATCCCTGGGTCCTCCAGTCCCCACGGTAGTCAGCGCATGTCTGGGTCCCTCTCTGGGAGCACAGCGCACAGCTCCCCACGCCCCGGAGGGCGCCAGCTCCGGGGCTCCCCCGGCCTCGGACCCCTGACCCGCTGACTGCCTCTGCTCCCCAGGGCCCCGCCTTCCGGCCCCGAGAAGAAGGTGGACGTGCAGCAGGTGTGGCAGCTGCTGATGACGGCCGACCGGAAGGACTACGAGAGGCTGTGCATCAAGTACGGCATCGTGGACTTCCGGGGCATGCTGCGCAAGCTGCAGCAGATGCGCAAGGAGCGAGAGGGCCGCCTGGCCCAGGTACGCGGGCCGCAGCGGGGCCGGGAGGGGCCCAGGACTCGGACGCCAAGTCCAGGTCCCGGCTTCGAAACCCGGCTCCGATACGGAATCGGGGGCTTTGGGGAAGTGAGGGCCGCCGGGACACTGGTGTCATCGTCACGCCTACCCCGAGGGCCATCGAGAGGGGCCATGAGACAGCGTCCTTGAAGCCCGTAGCCTGACGCTCAGTAAGTGCTGACCGTCAGCCGTCACCGCCACCGTCACGGCCCGTCATCACCGTCGTCGTTGTCATCGGTCACCATCGCAGGCCTCGGGGGTCTGTCTTGTTTCCAGAGGCTTCCAGGGGGGGAGGGGCCGTGGGCGTCCTCGTCCCAGTGTCTCACAAACCGCGCCGGACACTCTTACCTGGGTCGGACCTGGCGGCAGCGCCGGCCCACTCTTTCTTCTGCAAATGCAGAACACCTCGTCGTCACCCTGGAAATGGCACGTTAGCCAACCTCCCGTCGAGGGCCTCGCCCTGGCTCCTCCGGCTTCCTCGCCGGCTCTAGCGCAGGGCCTTGCACGCAGTAGGTGCTCGAGTCCTTATCAGGTGGAGCGGGAACGCCCCCGTGTTCTCAGCGGCCTCGGACCCCCGCGCTCTTTCTCGCTCCCCCTCCCGATCCGAGATGCCAGCTTGGAGCCCGTCCTTCTTCAGAGGCTTCGCCTCCCGCTTGTAAAGCGGGAGATGCGTGGGGTACGGGGGCCTGGGGTCTGAGGGGCTGGAGCGGCCCAAAGAGAGAGCTCAGAGCTCCCCCGCCGCTTTGTCTTCCCTAGTACCTCAACTCCGTATCCAACCTGAGACACATAACGGTCACCAAGGACGGGATTGCGACGTTTGACCTGGAGCTGGATCTCAAGGATCCTGAGAGCAAGATTTACCTGTATAAGGTGAGGCTGGAGGGGCCGCTGACCGGGGAAGGCTCCGGCTGGGCCACTGCAGGTCCTGGGGGCAGGAACTGTGGGTCCCCCGCATCCCCTTGCGGGAACAGCCGGAGTCCACAGGTGGTGGACCCTGTGCCCCACAGTGCCTGACTGGGTCGGGGGACCCTGGCGTAGGCGTTCTGCAGAGACCGCTAACTTCTCTCAGAGCGACTGGGCCCTCCAGCCAGGGCACAGGGGCTCTGAGAAAGCGCACCCCCTGTGCCCTGAGCTCTCCCCAGAGACTGGAACGTCCCTGCCTGGGTTCCAGGAGCAGCTGCCCGCCAACCAGCTGGGCACAGGGGTGAGGTCTGTGGGGCGGAGCTGCAGAGCCTAACTCCAGTTCTCAGGTCAAACTCACCCTGCTCCACGGCTTCCTGGCTGTGCCGAAATGGGGCGTGCTGGGGCCTGGCTCGCGGTACAGTGCGCATTAAGGAGATAACATGATTTGCAGCCCCTTCCTCTCCCCCAGGCTCGTCCTGAGTCCTTTGCCCCAGCTGCTCCCTCTGCCGGCCATATCGGTCCCGAGACCCACACGGCTGATTTCCGACCGCCCTTCGTCACACCGCGGTGGCCGCCAGCCCTGTGCTGGAGCTCCCGAACGCATCTGTCCCTTCCTGACATGCATTATGTTATCACCCACGATGTTTTCTACTTGTCGGTCTCCCCCATAGGATTTTAGCTCCCTGGGGCAGGAATCCCTGGCTGTTTTGTCCTGAGTCCTAAGGCAGCGCCTGGCCCACCGTGGGCATCTAAGCGTTAGCAGTTTCAAACCCTAGGCAAATAGCTAGTCTCTCCGGGGTCCAGCCGAGGCGGGCGTGTGTGTGCCTCGGCGGGTCCGTGGAGCCTCGAGGACACGTGACGGTCGTCTTTTGTTCGCACGGATGAAAGCGCTGGGCCTGGGCCCTGGGTGCTGCCTCCTGCTCCCGCCAACCTTGGGTGGCAGCTCCGCTCAATCTGAGCTGCCATCTGGGCACAGCCGGGTGCCACTTACGGTGGCAGAGAACGGACGCCATGGCCAGAGACGTCCCCAGAGCGTTTATTCCCCTCCGGGCCTGCTCCTCCCCTCCACCTCGCCCTCTGGGTCCAGGATGGTGTCATCGGGTGCCCGACCAGTGGGAGGCAGCGGCTGCCTGCTGCCAGGGTGGGGTCGGGGCCCAAACCCCCGCTTTCTCTCCGGCCACAGGACAGTGAGAAGGTCGCCTACAACTCCGGCAGCCCGACCAAGTACAGCAGGCAGCAGCTGGGGAACCGCCACCACTTCCTGATCCATGACCTGTGTCCCGAGGACGCTGGCATCTACCAGGTCAAGGTGGAGGACGCCGACGTCTTCTCCACAGAGCTGGAGGCCAGCGGTGAGTGGGCGTCCCCGTGGGAGCGCGGGCAGACAGAGCTGGTCGACGGGACAGGCCCGCGTCAGTGCCACGGCCGGGGAGGGGCGGACGGTGTGACAGTGATGTTGGGAGCATGCACCCCGGAGGGTTCAGTTAGGGGAACTGCTTGTCCAAAGTCTTGGCTCACGGTCTGGGTTCCTCTGAGCTTCCATCCCAGACACAGGTGACGCAGGCTGTGCTGCTGCTGACAGACCAGCTTCAGGTCGGGCTGAAGCAAGTCCCCCACCCCCGATGCCCACCCCGTACCCCGCGCTCCTCAGCAAAACTCCACCGGGCCAGGCACTCGTGTGCCCTCTGTGGACCTCCCTGCCTGGGAACTGTCCCTTGCTCCCTCATTGAACCCGGTCCCGCCCCCAGGGAGCTGTGTGCACCCCGCCCCCTGAGCGCCTGACGGCCGAGGGGCCTCTGGCAGGAGGCTTTGGGCAGCGGTACCCTACAGCATGTGCTGAGCCTGACTGAGGGAGAGGGGAGGCGTGAGACCTCCAGCAGCATGGCAGGCCTGGACGGGGCTTGGGGAAGCCTGGCAGGGATGCGGAGAGGGAGGCGCAGGGCCGGAGGCGGCAGGCGGGGCTGTGAACGCTGGCCGTGCGGCCTCCTGGCCGGTGAGACGCGGGGCGAGCCACCTCAGCCCCCTTTCCTCACCCATGACGGGGCCGTGGCCACGCCCGCCTCGGAGGCGGCCACGAGGACCAGCAGGATGACACGCATACAGACACGAGCACTCAGCACACTATGTCCTTCATGTACCCGCTCGGCCCCGGTCACAGCTGGATTTACAAACACAGAATTCTAGAGCTAAAAATCGACTTCCTGTTCGGATTCCTAGCTATAATCCCTGGTTTGATATGGGGGGAGACTGACAGCCGGGCTAAGAGGTGACTCATCCGCGGCGACACAGGGGTTTTGTGGCTGGCCTGTCCGAACCGGGGTCTCTGAGCCCCCGGCTGACACGCCGCCCGCTGACGGCCCCGCACCTGCTCCCCTGCAGACATCCCGCCCAGGGTGCTGGTGCCGCTGGCTGAAGCCCGCTGTAAGGAGCACGGTGATGCTGCCTTTGAGTGCGTCCTCTCCAAGCCCTGCCCCAGCGCCACCTGGAACTTCCAGCACCAGCCCCTCCAACGTAGTGACCGATACGAAGTGTCCGTGTCCCCCGACGGGCTGACCCACCGGCTGGTGGTGAGGGGGGCCCGCTTCTCAGACACGGGCACCTACTCCCTGAGCACCGGGCTCCACAGCTCCAGCGCCTGGCTGGTGGTGGAAGGTGAGCGGGCCACACCTGCCTCTCCCTGCCGGTCACTGAGGCAGCGCCGCAGGCTGAGGAAGGGGGCGCAGGGGCTTCCTTCGGCCAGTCACTTGCTGCCAGGCTTTTGGGTTGCAGGTGACCCCAGGGGACCGATAGCCGGACATCCATAAGGCAGGCAGCAGGGCAAGTAGTTTTCAAAGCCACACAGTCACATGTGGCTGTTTGATAAGCAAGTGACTTTCGGCTGGCATACCTACTCAGGTCCTGAGAAAGCACGCGACAGGTGGGCGGGCTGAAGGTACAGGACTAGGGGGTGGGGGCCCCCACCCCGAGCTGGCAGGCCCTGGCTTCCTTCCTCCTCGCTGGGCAGCCGAGGGTTGGGGAAGCAGCAGGCGGCGACCGCTGGCGACCGGCCTGATTCCGCTGTCTTTCCTCTTGTCTCTGTACGGGGCGCTGACCTCTCCTCGAAGCAGGGAAGGATAAAGGCCTTCTGAGCACCAGCGCCGACCAGCACGTCCAAGGGCGAGGAGCCCAGGCCTCGGGAGCAGACGCATCCAGGGGCGCCAGCAGTGAGGGAGGGAGACCTGGAGAGCAGGGCACCGACGGGGGCCCCCTTAGTGGAGTGCGGCCGGCGCTGGGGCTCCAGCTCACAGCCGGCCCAGAGAGAGGAGGCCTTGGGGGACACGGCTACTCCTCCACGGGGGACGAGAGGGCAGCTGACTCAGCCTGGGGCCCCGGGCAGGCAAGAAAGGGCTTTCTGGAAGCCGAGGGAGACAGGACCGCTCCAGCCAGGGACAAGCTCCACGGAGAGGGAGCCCCAGACAGGAGCCTTCTGGGGGGGCCCCATCCACAGGGACGGGACCTGGGATCAGGGTCGGGCCTCACGGGTCATCGGCCAGACGGTGGCAGAGACGGTGGGGAGAGTCAAGGTGGGACAGCAGGAGGCTGGGAGGCCGGGCCCAGGCGCCCTCAGGCTGGCGGACGGTTGAGCAGCGGGGAAGGACAGGAGCATGGAGTGGACAAGGGCGGCCAGGGACGGCTCTGGGGGGCCCCAGTTAGGCCTGGGGAGGGAAAGGCGGCCTCGCAGGGCCCGCAGTCTCGTCCTGTGGGGTCTTGGTCAGAAGGGGAGGGGATGGAGGAGATTTTGCAGGGGGAGAGCCTGGGCACGGTGGGGGCAGGGCGTGGGGCGCATGGGGGAGCAGGGAGGGGAGCAGCTCAGGCAGCATGGAGCAGCAGGGCTGGCCAGGGGCAGGCTGGGGACAGCGAAGCCGCGGGAGGTCCTGGTGCCCTGAAGCCTCCTAGAGGAGGGGGGTCCAGCGCCAAGGCAGGCAGGGGCCCTGAGACCTGGGGGGCTCAGGCACGTGGCGATGGTGACCACGGGGGGCTGGGACCTGCTATGGGTCAGACACCTGCAGGTGAGGACGTCCAGGCGCACCTGGCGTCCGGGGACAGGAAGTTCCTCCCGGGGAGCAGGAGTCCGGAGGGCCAAGCTAAGGGGTTGTGGCAGGCAGCAGATGGTGGAGGCCCAGGAGGCCCCGGGGGCCGGAAAAGGGGTCTGCCGGGGCCCTGGGGACAGGAGGGCCAGCGGGTGGTGGAGGCCGCAGGCCAGGCAAAGGATGGCCACGGGAGCCTCCAGGGTTCCCAGGGCTGGGCAGCCGGGGAGAGGGGGGCAGGGGAGGCCGGCAGAATGGAGGCCAAGCATGCAGGTCCTCAGGAAGACACAGGGTCTGCCCTCAGCCGAGCCGGGGCCCAGAGTGGGCGTGGGGAGCCGCCTGGGGCTCTAGGCCCAGGAGCTCAGAGGCTCAGGGGCACACTGGGCGGCACAGGTGAATCAGGAGGTCCCGGGACAGTGGGGTCCGAACCAGATTCCTGGAACGGGACATGGGGTGGCAGAGATGAAGAGGGTGAGGCTGGCTCGGGTGGGCCCCGGGGACTGGCGTCCAAGAGTGACGGGGGCTCGGGGTATTTTAGGGGACTTGGCCCTGAAAAGGGGTCTGGTTACGGTGGTGGCTCGGGGGCGCCGGGAGACACGGGGTCCGCTCACGCTGCTGGCTCTGGCGTCGCCTCCGGGGCGCCCGGGAGAGTGGAGCCCGAGGGCAGGGCTGGTGACAGGCGCGGCTCCCTGGGGCCTGCGGCTCTGCGGTCTGGACACCAAGGCGGTCGTCCTGCAGGCGGGGTGTCGGAGAGAACCGGAGGTCTCGAGAATGGCTCGGGGGGCCTAGATGGGGGACTCGGGGATGAAACCAGGCTGCGTCCGGAGCCCGGGGACACAGTCAGACTTCAGGGGTCTGCCGGCCCCGGGGCCAGAGGTGGCTCCAGGGTCTCTGCCACGGCGGAGGCTTCTGGAGAGGGGCGTGTGGGAGCAGAACCAGGGAGCTCCGAAAGAGTGAGGACTCGGGGTTCATCTGGGGATGGCAGGGGCTTCGGAGCCTCAGGGACAGTGGGGGCATTTGGAAAAGGAGGCCACGAAGGCGGGTCGGGGGGCTCAGGGGCTGTGCCGCCAGGATCTCAGAGGGCGGTGGGCGGAGCGAGTGGCAAGGCCGGGTCGGGGGTTCCTGGGGGTGCAGCTGGTCGTGCAGACGATGCCAGGCGCCCCGAGGCACAGGTGCCCCCGACTGGGGCCAGCCCTGAGAGCTGGGGGCCATGTGGCTCTGGCCCCATGCTGGGTCAGGGGGCTGGCTCCCCAGCTGCAGGGCCTCAGCAAGCGGGGGGCAGGACAGCTGACAGAGGAGGGTCGGGGGGTCTCGGGCCTGGGGAGCTGGGGCCAGGGGCTGAGGCCAGCTCCAGAGGCGGTTCGGGGGGCCATGGAGGGCTGGGGTCAGCGGGGGAGGCTGGCTACGGGGATGGTTTGGGGGCTCCTGAGGGAATGGGGTTAGGGAGCAAGGCAGGGCACAGGGATGGTTTGGGGGGGCCTGGGGTAACCAGGTCAGGGACTGAGGCAGGTCCCAGGGGAGGCATAGGAGGGTCTGGAGTAATAGGGCCGGAGAGTGGGCAGGGCTCCAGAGATGGTTCCGGGCGGTTCGGTTCAGACTCGCTGGCTGGAGAGGGACCTGGGGGCCCCCGAGGTCCGGAAGCCGTGGGGCAAGGGTCCGGGTCCTGGGCAGCACCAGAGGGGTCTCGTGGTGGCACAGGCTCCAGGGGCGGTCCAGACAGGAGCAGGGGGGCAGGGACGGGGCTGGCGGGCGGGCCCGGTCCCGGGCTGGGCTCTGGGGTGACTAGCGTGGTGGGCACTGCAGACGGGCAGGGCTCCAAGAATGGCTCTGAGGGCTTCGCAACCTCGGGGACCCCCGGGACATCGGGGGCTGTTGGCTCGATGGGAAAAGCAGGAGGCAGAGAGTGGCAGGATGTCGCAGGGACCCCCGGGTCTCCTGGGGACAGAGGACCCCCCGGCGGGGAAGGCAGGTCTGCCGACCGCGCAGGGGGTGTGCGGGCTCCTGGCTCTCTTGAGGGTCAGGGGGCAGTGAAAGATTCCCGGGCAGGGACAGCTGCTCTGGAATCCGGACATGAAGGGGACTTCCGGAAGGCAGGCCCGGGGACCGCAGACAGAGGTGGCACCGCTGGCCAGGGAGCGCAGGCGTCTGAGGGAGCAGGGGGCTCGCTGCTGGGAGGCGGGGGGCTGGCAGCAGCACGGGGAAGGCCGGCAGGCACAGGCTCGGTCCTGGACAGCAGCCAGACCCCTGGGGACAGGGACAAGTCTGTGACGGAGTCTGCAGAGGGCGGGGGGGCAAGCCGGGCTCGGGCCCCAGGCCGGGAAATTGGCCGAGGCAGCGCAGGAGCTGGGACCCGGCCCCCAGGCTCCACGGCAGCTGGGTCTCTGCAGGAGGGAGCTGCCACTGTCGGCAGGACCCAAGAAGGGACAGAAGGCGGCAGGGCCCGGGAGGGGGCTGCAGGCCAAGGGGAGGCTGGTGGGTGGCCAGGCCCGAGGCCCCTGGACAGCAAGGGTTCAGCTGCTGGAAGGGGCAGGACTGCCGTCCCAGGGGACTCAGGTGGAGCCCAGAACGGCCTAGAAGTTCCTCTTGGCAAACAGGGCTCTAGAGACAGATCCGCAGACACTCGTGGGCAGGGCCGAGGACGGCTGGGAGGAAGAGGTTTTCTGGGGTCACAGGGCTCCCTAGAGGCTGAGGACGACAAGGCCCAAGGTCCAGAGACCCTAAAAGAAGATGAGAGACAGGTTGCAGAGAAGCCCGGTGGGTCAGACAGGAGGCGTGGCCCACCCAGGAGCTCGTCCCAGGCACAGCCAGGGGCCGAGGCGGGAGCCGCAGAGCAGGGGACAGTGGGTGAGGCCCGAGGCAGGAGGCAGCCGCCTGGTGGAAGGGACGAAGCCAGCCCTGGGGAGATGCTGCATGACGACCAGAGCCGGAGGCCCCCTGGCCATCTCGGCAGCAGGAAGGGTGGCACAGAGGGCCGGCCTGCCATCTACGGCCAGGAGAGGGACGCCACCCCGAGTCCCAGATCCAGACGCAAGCCTGGCACCAGCGATGTCTCCGAGGAGGTCAGAGGTAGGTGTCCTCAGCCGCTGGCTCCCGTGGGAACCCCGCGCAGTGGGGCGCCTGGGTCGGTCCCAGATTTGCTCCCAGCCCCAGGCCTTTGTCCCTGCCAGTGCCCCATTTTCTGGGGTCCCCTCCCGGCCTCAGTAGCAGCCTCCTCCTCCTCATGGGGGTGGGACCCAAGCCATGGGGTCAGGGGTTCACCCGAGCACCTGTCTTGACACCCTATATCCCAAGCGCGGAGCCGTTGAGCTCTGCGGGGTCACCCAGACCTGTCTCTGTGACTTGGGTGCCTTTCCCCACCTTCCACCCCAGCCTCCCGCACTAGCCTGGGCCCCGCCAGGGGGCGCCGGCTCTGCGGACATGCGCTGGCCTCCCAGGGTGCGGCGCAGGCCATGGCCTGGGAGGCTGGGCCCGGGGGGTTCCTGGGGGTCCCCAGCCTCTCCCTGTCTCTCCAGGCCACTTCTTCCAGGGCCTGACTGACACGGAAGCACGGCTGGGGGAGGACGCTGTGCTCTCCTGCACCCTCAGCCGGGACCTGGGACCTGGTGCTTGGTTCAAGGATGGCGTCCAGGTAGGGCTCCCCTCTCCCCCCCAGCCCCCTTGGGGCGGGGGCAGCGGGGGTGCAGATGAGAGAGAGGGCCGGCCTTTCGTTCTTCATTTTCCGAGGCCTCCGCCCCAGGAGCGTGATTGGGTGTCACCCCGTTCACACGCACCCCTGGCTTCACTGCCGCCCCAAACGCCCTCTCTACCCCAACACCTGTCGGGTCGTCCGCGTCCTGAAGGCCTTGGACGAAGGCCACCTTCTCAGCCCGGGGACGGCCCTCTGTCCTCTGTTCTGGAGGGGGTGCGTCGCAGTGCTTCGGGCCTGGGCCTCAGAGAGACCGGGTCCGACCCCACTTCCCCGGCCCCCGGCTCCGTCTGCGAAACGGGCTGGTAGCCATGTAAGGCATGGTGACCACTCGCGGCGGCGTGGAGCGGAGCCCCTCGGTGCCTGTGGCCCGCGCCGGGCTGCTCTGACTCGAGTGACTGCGTCGGTGACAGACCGCAGAGGGGCCCCGGGCTGCAGTGACGGCTCCGCTGTGGCCTGCTTCCAGCTCAGCACCCAGGATGGACTGGTCATCGAGCAGGATGGTCTGGTGCGCAGGCTCCTCATCGCCCACGTGCAGGGGGCCCAGGCCGGCAGGTACACCTTTGCAGTCGGCAACCAGCAGAGCGAGGCCACGCTGACCGTCAAAGGTGAGGCCCAGCTCTGCCGCATGCGTGGCCAGCCTGTGACCGGGTCCAACCTCACCCCCAGCCCAAGGAAGTGACTGAAATTCCTTGTCAGGAGGTCGTGGGTGAGGTCCCTGGTCTCTGGCCCCCCAGCCTGGTTCGTCCCTGTGAGGCGGGGGCTGAGTTCCCGACTCTTAGCCCCGACTTTCGTCTCTGGGCCCTCCCCGCACTCGGGCGCCCGGCGCCCCGGCCTCTCTGACTCCCTGGTGCCGCCCCATCTCCAGATCCCCCCGTCATCACTCCAGAAGTGATTGACGGCCTGAAGGAGCCGCTGGTGGTCAAGGCTGGGAAGCTGCTGGCAGTGAAGATCCCCTTCCAGAGCCGCCTCCCCGTCCAGGCCACCTGGTGGAAGGACGGGGCTCAGGTGGATGGTGGCCGCGGCGGGGGTGCGCAGGTGGCCCTCGGTGACGGCTTCACCCGGCTGTGCCTCCCCAGCGCCAGCAGGAAGGACCGTGGCCAGTACAGCGTGACGCTGAGGAGCAAGGGCGGCTCTGTGCAGGCCGAGCTCACCCTGCAAGTCATCGGTGAGGCCCCCGGGGTGGGGGGGGTCC